TAAGAATAAAAAGAGAGGAGGAATTAGGAATGCATGGGAATGGAAACAAACAACGAATAGTGATGGGAGGAAGGAAAGAAGGGGTGGGCATGAAGGTGGGAATCCAAGGACGAGCAGGGATTGAACTTGGAACTTGGAAGAAGACAGGTGGCTAAGAATGGACGCCACGTGTTCCTCCCTCTAACGGTAAAAAGGATGATAAAGAAACCTTTTATTTCCCATCGTCTTGCTGGAAGAACTTTCCCACTGACTTGAAGACTCGGGGTCCCACATTTGTGTGTGTTTTTTTAGTTAGTGCTGAGATGGGAATGGAATAATAAGAATTATGATTTTACAGTTTGGCAATTTACTGTGGGCGTGCTGCCTGCCAAAGCAAAGAGTACAAATACAAACCATTCTTCTTCTGGGGATATTGGCTGGTGGAATTCAACGTTGATGTGTTTTATTGACTTCAGCGGAAAAACTCTTTCACCGCCGACTCTTTCTAAATTCTACTAATATTAAGATCACTGCTTCAGCTACAAGTACAACCGAATTCCACGTCTATATATTGAGGAATAAAAAATGTCATAAAATAAAGTGAGAGATAATCCACTTATTTTCACGTCTGTGTCGATACAGCTGTCAGTGTGACGTGGTGTGACTCAAGATACGAGTGGCATATGTGTCATGGTCTACTCTTTTTTTTTTTTTTTTCTACTTCTCTCATTTGTCCGTCATCTAGCAATACTCGAAGTGTGCATAACTATTGCTAGACTTGTACAATGGATAAGTGTGCATTGCTATTGGTCCAATTGGGTGCTCCTAAAGTATGATAGCGTAGAAATAAAGTAGATGGTGCTAATTATGCAAACAAATATATATAAATATATATAAATTAATTTTTCCTACACTGACAGTGTATACAGTATCAATGTTGGATGAATGACAACTATGTAAAATTTGAATTTAAACTTTAATTTTTGCACATATATCATGAATTCAACGATGATAATGTATACACCGTCAGTGTATGAAAGATTTACTCAATGTTATATAAGTGTGCATTAGTGCATTATGGACCAGAACTTTGCACGATGGATCCCGAAACTCGAAAGTTTGCGTAAAAGCTGAAAGGTCTGGCTCAAATACAAAACTTGTGGTAGTAAATTTATTTTTTTACTCTACCGGGTACAAACTGTGGCTATTCTTTATGAAAGACGATTACTCCATAGCATTTGGGTAAAGGGCCCATTTCACAAAACCTTAAGAATAGATGCTTATTTCTTGGGGGAAAATGGAAACAAAGAAGAAAGGAAAACCCAAATTACAAATTGAGGTACGGTTAATTTTTTATAAGTTAAGAACTTAAATATTGACAGAAGAATTATAGGCGATTCAAATGGTAAGTTTCAAAACCTTTTCACCCTTTTAGGCGCTTTGGCCGTCCAAAGGAAATTTGGTTGATCCAATTCATTCAGCATTTTTTTCCTTTTGGGGTTACTACCTCGAAAATACCAAAGCGGGAAAGAGAAGTTGAGGATTGACTGGAACACAGATTAGAAGCCTGAGTTAATCAGCGAGATAGTTGCACGTGAAGGGTAGTAAATCGAACCAGCCAATCATGCGTTAACTTTATCAGTAATGTAACTCTACACATTTATAACCAAAAAATGGGAAAAAAAATGGCCCTTGATCCAACGATAGGAATGAAGAAAAGCAGCAGACAAAGATGCCAAAGAGGTAAAGAGTAAAAAGAATAAAATAAAAATCACATGTAGAAAGTGCATATAAGACAACGAAAATGTGGCGTGTGTGTGCCTAGAGGGTTGGATATCTTGGCCAGTCGGCCTTTACATACAACTCACTTCAATCTATGTTTTCAGAACCGGACCGGATAGCGACTCGGCCAAGGTCAGGGGTCAGGGGTCAATGGGTTCGACCGGGGGTCGATAGGGGTCGAACCGGATGACGTCATAAATAAAAATTATTTAAAAATTAAAATATTATATATATCATATCTAATAATATATTGATATTAATAAAGGTATATTCATACATATTTGATGTTTCAAAAAGATTTAACAAGAAAATACAAAGAAATTAGAACAATCAAGTAGCAATTTATATTATTTAATAAATATTAACAAGTTTAGAATTAAAATTATGAATTTAATTGAAAAATAACATCAAATTGTAGGACAATATTTATAAAGTATCAAATATTTGAGGTATACGAATAAGTTTTAACAATTTAGGGGGCCAAAACATAATATTATAAAGTTTGAATTTTTTTTTTAAAAAATTACTGTTGAACCGGAAAAACCGGGTTTTTCCCGGTCAAACCCGGTCAAACCCGGATTTTGACCGGCTTTGACCGAGTTTTAAAATTTCCGGTTTTCTAAGTTGACTCGGACCGGCTACCTGGCCGGTTCCCGGTTCGACCGGTTCGACCGGCCGGTCCGGTCCGAGTTTGAAAACAGAGACTTCAATATAGCTTGTTTACCTGAGGTCAACGGAAGTCTGGTCCACCATTATATTCTGACCGATAATTGACATGGTTAATGTGGCAATCAATCACCCTATTGTTCAATCCTATCATTGACACATGCGTCATGTCTTATCGTACCAGATCAGACTACCAATAGATTTCATCATTTCTTTTCCTTTTTTCCTTTCTGACATTTTCTTACGAAAGTAAGAATTTTTGGCAAATAAACCTAACTCCCCACAGTAACTCCAAAAGCCGGTAACTTGTGGAGTCCTGTGAGGGACTTATAAACCTAAACCCCCAACCCCCCATTACCGATGTGGGATAGAAAACCCCACAGGGGTGCCCCGCTGCTAAGAGATAAAGACCCCCTGAGAGGTATCATTTCTTTTCCTAACTCCTCTAATATAAGTATTAGTTCCTTATCTCCTTGAGAGGTATGCTTTCTAACCAATTCGACACAACTTCTGATAGTTATTGGCTTAAGCGTCGGAGTGATCTCGAGGGACATAGACCCGAACACTTTTTATTTTGTAGGTGAACTCGTCTTGTGTTTAATTTCAACTCGATTGCCCAGACCTCGCATGCACAGTGTGCATTGTGAATGCCCATAAAACTTAAAAGGTTATATTACTACAAGTTTTTCATTTTCAACCAGTTATAACAAATGTGTGATATTTATGATTTTTTTCCTTTGGGTTCTTTCTTTTCTATTTTGTGTCATTTGGAGGCAAGGGGGACATCACTCAACCATGGGATAATTATCAACAGGGTCAGGGTGTCACAAGAGTTGAACTATCGATCTCATTATTAATGACTTTTGGACCATACATCCAAGCCTCTTCTATTATCCACGTACAACCTAAATAGCATGCACCTATATTGTTAAACTTGGACAAGATAGTAATTTGGCTAAACTATTGGATTGGGAGTTAATTGATCGGATCAATCCGATCATTTTCAAAACTTCGCTGATGTCAGCATCATGTCATAATTATTTTATATTTTGTAAGTTCCAGGATATTGAAATTATATTCTTAGTTATATTTGGCCAACCATATAAAACGTTACAAAAATATTAGGCTTGCAATCAAATAGACACAAAAAATTATATATAAAAAAGTGAACTCATGCTTAAAATTTGGCTGATTTTTGACAGTTTTAACTGATTTTTTATCAAAATGATTTCACACTACTAATTAATTCAGGAAGAAAACTGGTTCACGATCGGACTTACAGATCTTGTACAAGTCTAACAACATTGGCATGCACGTGAAAGCTGAATACATTTCGACTCCCTTGTTAAAAATTGACACAAAGGCTGGAATGCGAAAACTAAAATGTGAAAATCGTCAACGTATGGCGTCCAGAACAAGAATATTCATATTTGGAGCAATTGACCAAAATATACTAGTTGTTGAGAGTTTGGAGAAAAAGGGAAGGAAGGGGGGGGGGGGGGGGGTTGTTGCAAACCTTTTGCTTGCAATTGATTGTTTCGTGAACTTGAAGAGTGGGACTTAGATGGCAATTTTGCACCAGCAAGTTGAAGCTGAACTGGAATATGATGAATTGTTGGTTACGAAAGCTACACTTTTCCACAGCAGCTAATGATAATTCCCCAATATATGACATTATGCATTAGCTGTTGTACATTGGCTCTCAAGTCCACCAATTTTGGTGGACGTACTAACTGGCCTGATATATATATATATACACACACACACATACACGTACAGTCATCTCAATTACTACGATTCCAAAAGTCATTCATTCCTGGTGATCCATCCCGATATGGCAGTTGTTACGGGTGGATCAGAGCCGAAGGGCAAAGAATGTCTGCGATACCCCACTGAAGAACCGGATTAGCCAAGCCAATCGTTAAAGATCTTTTCTAGTCCTTTTCTGGCATCGTCAATCCAACAAATTTACCATATCTGATCGGACATGGTTTTAATGACCAATTTTTAAAGGATTTACTTATAACCGGTCAGTAGTGAATGAACTTTGAGAAATAGTGCACATTGTAAGGTTACATAAATTTTTTTCTCCACATCCATGATTCAAATTTAGACAGACATTTCACGTTGATTGAATTCACCAAATTTCCTTGTTTTTCTATTACTGGCATTTATTGGCCAAAACTTGACTTGATCCGGTTTTCAAAAATCTAATGATCCCAAATTGTGTCACACTATTCAGTGAGATGATGTGGTATAATTTGGACCATTAAATCTTTGAAAATCGGATTTATCCAAGTGTGAGCTGTATCTACTAAACAATGTGAACAGAGATTGCTGAGAATGTTTTTTTCAACAAAATTGATTGCGAGAATTCGTCCGATGAAGGGATGGAGAATAAGGAGTGGAACTACTCTCGTTCTTGTATCCATTGCTTTGTTTTGTTACGTTTTTCATTATGGGGTACTCACACTTACTTCACTTTTTCTTTATTATTATTACTACAGTATTATTTTGTTGAAAGTAAACCATCGTAGACAAAATTCTTGCGCTCTCCTTCTTCCATCTTTTCTGATGGTTAACGCGAATTGAAAATTCCTTCGCAAATTGACATGACCCAAACAAGAAAGAGTAAATATTCCTACATCTTAATCTCTGCAAAAGGGAAATACAGAGTCAACTTCTAATAATATCCAGGAAGTAATTGGCTCCCATTAATCCTCACAAAAGAGTTTGTTTCTACTTGGTCGTATCCATAAACATGATTACTTCTTGTTAGCAAAGCGACAATCCTTTCTTATCTCTCCCTCATCATTGAGAAGGGGATTATTCTCGGACAAAATCAGCAGAGCCCTTGAAAACTGGTCGTGGAAGTAGTCATTGTCAGCAGCCATCTTCTGGACAAAAGGAGACGTCAAAGGATCCGAAGCCAATTCTTGATCGACTATCAGGAGCCCTTTGCCGTCCAAGATGCTCTTGTAATATAAGTTATCGAGCACCATGGGCGTTGCAAGATCATCTCTGGAATACTCCACCGCCTTGGGGTCTGGTTTTGGAGAGGGGCATCGACGTTTGAGGTATTCAACATGAGCAGGGTTAAGGGTCGGGTCAGCGTTTGGATAGAGTCTGTCCACAAAATTGATGCAATGAATTCGCCCCACTGAGTGACCGCCTGTAAAGTAACCAACCCATGTTATATAATTGTACGTTAAAGAACTAAACGTCCTCCGTGCAAATAACGTTAAGAAATTACTCCCACATAAACTGCTGTCTATCATTGATAAGGTGCATTAATCTTTGATAATCATGTGTGAGTTTGGTTGAAGAAGAGAAGTTGTTCCTACCGAAACGTAAAGGTTGTCATGCCATGCATAATTGCTGTCATAAGTTAAATGACGACTTCAACGGTGATTTGTCACAATTTGAAATTTTTTGACTTGCCAAGAAAAGCTTATCGATCACTCTTTTATTTTACCATAAAATTGAGGGGAAGCCTTCTTTTTCTTTTTTGAGATTTTTTTTTTTTTTTTGGGTTTAGGTAGACATACTTTTTTTTTTTTTTTTTAGAAAAAAAAGTTTGAATGATTTTGATTCTGATCACACTATAGGTCAGTGCGTGTTCAAGGGGATTCTTACCGATCGCCCACTAATATAATTTTCACATTGATAGCAACAAGATTCGAACACACCAGATTTTTTGTCAGAAAATGATCCGTCTTTACTAAGTAAGTCAATTTGTATTGTGGTTCAGGTAGGTATAGTGGCATACAAACGTTAATTACCTAGTAAAGCAACAGTTCCTTCTGCATCGATCCCAACCGACTGAAAGCGCGAAAGAACTGAAGACATGCTATCGTTATGGTTAGGAATAAGGCTGTCAACGTCCGCCGCATGACTGACTTTGCTGTCTTTCCTCCCGGTTTTCATCTCAATTTCTGGCCCTCCCAACTGTAGCATCAAATTTCAACAATATGGTCACTGGTCAGGCAACCAAGAGAATTCGATGCCAATTTGCGCCTATAGAAATCTATGGGGAAGGCAAAGGGTTTTTACTTATACAACATTAGAATTTGTCTCACCAAAACGACGCCATCCCTTGCAGAGAGAGCGACGATATCAGCACAAGAAACTGTACCGGGGCATTCACTTTCCAGGGCCTGCTTAATTGTGTTTATGTACTTGAAGTTTCTCATTCCAAAGCTCCTCGCTGAGTTCTTCTCAGACTCCATGCCAGGGGCGTTGTCCAGCAGAAGCGACGCATCGCATGACTACAGATTAAATGCTAGTAATATATTAGCCCCATGATCATCGAATAACACGACACACAATATATATATATATAGTTGTTTCTTGCATGCATGAACCAATAGGATAATGATCATACTTACCTTAACCATGCAATCATGGAATATATTTCTGACCCACGAAATTGCAGTATTTCCATGCTTGTGGTACAGGTTGACGACTTGCTCTTTGATGATCTCTTCAGCCCTTGGGCAACTTTCTGAGTAGTAGTTTAATTGGAGATCACTTTTCCCTGAGGCACCACATATAATGTAAGTGTGTTACTACTACAAGGTTTGTAATTTAATCGGCAATCAACATAATAATCCAAACGGAGACGCAGAATAAGGATGACGATTCACAATTAAGACAAAGATACAAAGAAACAGCAGCGATGAACTAAAAATCTTAAAGGAAAAAAAATTTGTTGACTTTGATTGGTGGGGTCAGCGGGGATTACAATTTAAAAAGAAGATAATGTAAAGAAAGAAAGAAAAAAAAAAAAGAAGTACCAGAACAAAACTGTAAGAGCAACGGTAATAACAGAAAGATGAAGAAGCAGGAGCTAGACCGAGGGATCCTGTTGGCCATCTCTCCTTTTATTGCCTTTCTTGAGAAAGGGAATGTGGGCCGTCTGCAGATTTCTACGCAGTACATATATATATATACATATGTAGTAGCAGGGAGGGATATATCATATATGCTGCCTCGGTGGATGCAGAATGGAACCGAAATCAGAGTCTTGTTCCACTCAAGAAAATTTGTTTGACCTTTCGGCTGTATATTTCAATTTTCACCACGCGTGCACAGCCTGCACTCACCGAAAGTCACCGCAGCAAATCAATGCTCAAATATAAAACTAAGTATATATTAGTCAAGTTGCAATTTGGAGGCATGAACACTACATAAATTTGGTAGAGGCCAATTAATGTGGTGCTGCTGTCATGCCTGGACCAAGACTTGTACATTCAGCATAAATATTCCCCACAAATTTCAACCATTTCGTATTATTTTCTTTATGTTAGTTTAGTTAATCTTCAATTGGACAACAATTACAAGACACCATCCCGAAGCACATAACCTTCGAGACTATGGGCAGCCCTCCACGGCCGCCAAAAGTAGGTATTATGATGGCAACTTGGTAACTTAACCGCCACTCTATGTGGATGACACATGCTGTCCGGCGTAGTGTGGTGCACTTGTAATAGTTCGAAGAAAAAAAAAATTAAGAAAGGCTATGGTGAAAGCGATTTTAGTGGTGTGTGGATTCCATTGCGACACCAAAGAGTCCATTTGGTTTGTGCGTGAAATAAAAAGTGATTGAAAAATGTGTTCGTGTGAAAATTTTTTTGAAACAAAATGGCAATCAAAACAAGGTCTAAATCTCTATGAAACTAGAAAAAGGCATGCCAATTGCCGCTAGCGTCCCAAGAAATCATGAAGCTAATACTCTAAAAACAAAATCATGAAACTAATAGCCCATTAACCTATTGAAAACATCGCGACTTTCAGGACGACTCGGACAAGTATAACATGAACATGAAGGTTATTTATGATCCTTACCTCTGAGATGGTGCGCGGAGGAAGGGAAGCTTTGAAGGGGTGGTCCTGAAACTGAGAAAGCAGTCTCCAGAACGTAGACCACCGATAAATAGGTAGAAATAATAAACTCAAAGAAGAATTTGATCCATCGGGGACTCCTTGAAGATAATCCCAATCTAACACAAATTGCTATCCAATTTTATCTACACTGACGATTCAAACTTATGTATAGGCTCAGATAACATTGCATAACAAGTAAGAGGGAAAATAAGATAAACATCCAAAATGAATAAGCATTGATAAGCCAAATAATGATCGAAAAGAAAACAAAAGAAAGATTGTGAAGTTACCTAAATATATCTACTAACATGAGAATTCCAATCTTGTTCTTGTTCGACGTGAGCTATAACGAGGTTAATATAATCATTTAGCATTCTTATGTGAAGCAAGGCGAATTGAGGTGATAAGTGTAGATTTTTTAAATTTATTTTTGGAGATAGACTTGAAAAAGAGATTAAACACGTCTGCTGAAAGAAATTTGACAAAGACAAAGATAGTTTTCAATGTTCTTTTTCAAAAATTTTCGCTAGTCTTAATATCCTTTCCCTCCACTTTCATCCACTTTTGGATGGATAACATGCTGACAAAAAATAAGTAAACCTTATCCTTCGTTTTCCTCCCTATCCTTTCCTTTCCCTTCTCAAAAATCAATCCAAACATTAAAAGGAAAAAAAAACCTTATCCCTCTATTTCCCTTCTTTTACTTTCCCTCCCATTCTCTCGAAACACAAGGTAGCTTAGAGTTAGTTTTGGTTATAGGAGTTAGAATAGGGATTAACTTTATTTCACTATCTTTATCTCATAAAGAAAAGAAGAGACCCACTTTTTTCTACATCGTATATACTTCTTAAACTAGTGTGAATACCCGTGCTATGCACGGTGCTGGCATTATTGAAAAAGTAAAAATAAAATGGTGAATAAAAAAAGTTTAAAAATTGTACCAACACAATTAAAATGTAATATATGTCTAACAATAGTTTGAAATATGATAGAATGTGCATATCATTCAAGAACTGCCTTTTTTTCGGAAAATAGATCCTAAAAAAATAATAGAAATTTATTTTAGAAAATGAATTATATATGAACAAAAATGAATGTAATTGAATGTTGTTAAAATGAAATACTTACAAATATTATGCATTCGATTTGATAAATACAAAAATCTAGACAAAAATCTATAACTCACTACTTGTTCCGTTTTTGAAATTTTTTTTAGGGTTAAATATAGTAAACCCCTTAACTTTACATATAGTTGCACCGTACCCCTCAACTTTACATGTAGTTACACATTTGTGATTTTTTTGAAACGTGATTGTAATTTGCAAAACTCATTTGTAGGGGTGGTTATAGGGTTAGTTTGGGGATAAATATTTCTTAATTATAAAAATGTAACATTGTATTAAAATAACATACGAATGAGCATTTGTCTTTAATTAATGAGTAAAAAGGATTTAAAGTATAAATAATAAAGTATAAACGGTTTATGAAGTAGATAATGTTAATGTTTTAAATTTTAAATTTGATTGGTGGTAGGGTTGATTATAATCCACTACTTTTTATGTATTAAAATAAATACAAAAATCTAGAAAAAAGAATAACAAAGTATAAAAGGTTTATGAAGTAGATAGTGGGAATGTTTTAAAATTTAAATTTGATTGGTGATAGGGTTGGTTATAACCCACTATTTTTTATGTATTAAAATAAATACAAAAATCTATAACCCACTGCTTGTTCCATTCTTGGGATTTTTTTTAGGGTTAAATATAATAAACCCCTTAACTTTACATTTAGTTGCACTTTACCCCCTCAACTTTACATGTAGTTGCACATTTGTGATTTTTTTGAAACGTAATTGTAATTTGCAAAGCTCATTTGTAGGGGTGGTTATAGGGTTAGTTTGGGGATGAATATTTCTTAATTATAAAAATGTAACATTGTATTAAAATAACATACGAATGAGCATTTGTTTTTAATTAAGGAGTAAAAAGAATTTAAAGTATAAATAACAAAGTATAAACGGTTTATGAAGTAGATAGTGGGAATGTTTTAAATTTTAAATTTGATTGGTGATAGGGTTGATTATAATCCACTACTTTTTATGTATTAAAATAAATACAAAAATCTAGAAAAAAGAATGAGAAGTTTAGAAGTCATTGAGAGGGTTTCTGATAAAAACCCCTTCCTCAATACATATAGATATAGATGTCCCCGCGTGAATGATGCAGCGGCTACTTCTTAAATGCCCCCGCGTGAATGGTCCAGCGGCAGCGCCTCTCACCAGTGACCCTTGAGGTCACAAGTTCGAGTTTCCGCTACGCTGGATTCCTCCGCGCACTTAACGTGTTCGGGTCGGGTTGGGGCGCCGGGCCCGGGCCGCAGAGGATTAGTCAGGCCCCGTAAGCATTGATCCGGACACCCCTGTGTCGACAAAAAAAAAAAAGTATATACTTCTTAAATTGTAATTATAGTTATCTTTCTGAGACATACTTGAGATAGTTTGTTATGTCATCATGTAAGCAGCAACAGATCCAAGATTTTAGTTTAGGGAGCGCGAGGTATCAATGATATATATGATAGCAAACAAATTCTACAACAAATAAAATATACTATACGTAAAATGAAAGTTCAATAGACTATAATTAGAAATAAGAAATTTTTTAAAAATAAGGACATAATGTAAAAAAATATATATATGAAAATTAGACTCTATACCATTTCATTTATTATCGATGTGAGGCGTTCGAAAATCGTGGTTGAACCTTTTTCAATTTGTGTGATAGTTAGATTTTTTTCTTTTTTAATCTCTGTCTTTGGTTTCCTATGTAATATGTACAGTAGTGTTACAGTTTTATTTATACCGTTTTAATTATTTATTTCTTTTTATCTTTCTAAGACTTTTTATGTACAGTGTTAGCTTTCGGAAGTCCAAATAGGAAGGCCCAAATCATAAACCATATCAGGCATCGCGAAATTCTTCATCAAGGAATTATTCGGAAAACCACTGGGCCAATGGCTCAGTGGCCACCAGAGATGGACTTAAGTCCCTCCTTGGGCTGTTGGTGAGGGTTCAAACCTCACCAGCAGCGAAAAAAAAAATCTAAGGGTTGTGCCATAACACTTCCTTGGTCTAGTTGGGTCTGTATACCCACTAGCCCCTACAACAGCCTCCTTAGGCTCCCCCTCCCCCTAGATTAGGATAGAGTAGGTTATACAAATATATCGTTGCTGACAAAAAAAAAAAAAAATTATTTGGGAAATAATCCCAAAAATTCTCCAAAGTTGTAGTGGTATACCAGTACATGAGGCAACATACATGGATCAAGTGCATCAGATGTAGGCACGTACCAACTGTAAAAAATCACTTCATTTACATCTCTCGTTTGTTTCCATTTATTTAAGATAAAGGAAATGATCATGATCACCAAATTGTCTCTTGCTAAAAGATACATTTACACGTGACCCTTTGAAGAGTAATGCACTAGAATTGAGACTGCAAATTGAAGTAAATCCTTAAATCGTCACTTCTTTTGCTTTGAGCAAAAGGGCAGTAGGAAATTGTTTTATTGATAAGGTACAAAGGAGAATTTTTTTCCTGTTCGTCCTTTGTTGTTCTATAGTTACAGCTAGAGAGAGAGGAAAAAAAAAAAAAAGAGGAGGAAAATCTCTACCTGCATACTTCAACGGGCTTTAAAAGTAACTGACAACTTTTCCTCCAAAAAAAAAAAAAAAAAAAAAGTAGTAACTGATAACTCTTTTTACAGTTCCCAAACTGTCGGCGCTAGGGAAGTTCTATCGTCTTCATATTGGTAGCAAGTTTCAAGATTCAAGTTTCAAGCGCAATCGCGGATGCGACGGTTCTAGCCCAGTATTTGAGATGTTTCTTCATATCCGCAGCGGTAGAGACTCTGGGAATTCTTAAATTTAGGAGCGGTGAGTCAGGCCTTCTGATTAGCCACGCCTCCGATAGATACGGCCTAGTTATGGTTTGTTCAGCTCCTCCTTCAACTCGTCGAGTTTCATTATGTGGAGGGCTGCCCATTAAAATGTTATCTTTCCCTTGAATGGTGCTTCCGGACAGCTCCAGTCTTTGCAACCCTGGAATTACGCTCATCATCCTTTTGCTCATGTTTTCGTTGTTAAAAATGAAACCCAAGTCCATGAAACCTTGTACTTCTTCCAGTTCAAGCTCGCACAGGCTTTTGCAGCTCATGGTTTTGTGCAATCTCCTGCCAGTGGTACCTGCAGTACTAGAGAGTCTGAGGCTTCTTGATCGCTTTAAATTAGATGGCGACGATGACTGAGACCGGGATCTGCTGGCCGTAACCTCTGATTCAGCACAAGTAGTAGTAGTTTCCTTCTCATCACTCTCTTGCTCGTCAAACTCAGCCTTTTACGTGAATATATATATGTATGCACAAGCGGCAACGTAAATTTAATACTTTCATGGACGCGTCCTAGCTTGCATATAGGCATCACTACGTGTGTGCTCATGTGCTCGTGTGTCGGTGAGATCACAAAGGCATAGGTGGTGCAATAAATTAATTGCTGGAGATTTTGCTAACCTGATTAGTTATGGAAGATGATGATGAGTCTTCGTCCGAAATAAGCTGCGTTTGAGAGTCGTTGCTTGATGAATATAAAAGTTCTTCTGAGACTGCAGCCATGGATGACGGCTTATGGATCTTTGAATAAAGTGAAGGCGTCGATGGTTCCGAGACAAGAATAACGTTGTGAAACCAAAGATTATCCATGAGCCCTACTAGACATGATATGGCATAATTGTCTGCCATGAAAGGATAGTATACTGAGGGAGGAAGGCAGAGAGAGTCCAAGAAGGTGAAGGGGATGGATATTTTGGGTGTAGAAACTAGGAAGATTCGATATTATCTTAGGATGCGTTTATGACGGTGTGGTGGTTGTGAATTGAAACAAAATAAATGAACCAGAATCGATTCAGAAAGTCTGTGGGATCCCGGAGATAGCAGATGTGGCCACGAATCATGGACCTTTCCCCTCCTCCTTTGTTTCACATGCCAGTATATGTAATCATCATTGGCCTTGCCCGCTGCTTAAAGACAACACTCCGATGAGGACGCGCGACTGGATGAGTATTGTGCTGGACCATCATTTTTTGGTTGTAATTGTAACGTACGGGTTTTTGCAGTCATTCTGCAAAAACAATTGCAAAAAAAAAAAAAAAAAAGGCTATATTTTTCTTGAAAAACGCGACCTTCCCTATCATTTACCGGCATCTACGTCTAATTTGGATTGTGTTATAGGGTTTGAACTTCAAATTTTGGTTATCCTATCATCTATGT